GTCAAAAAGGGATTAGCCGGCTCGCATTCCAACAAGGGTTGGGAGCAATTTACCGATGCCGTGGTTGATGCGATTGACTTGTATGGCGGACTGGGACTTTTAAATACTACTCAAAACTCAACAGAGGCTGACCAGACACTCGAGCAGCCTGTGTTTAAGCGATTGAAAGTAGACCACCATACTTCGTCACAAGCTAGTCCATCGGAAACTGCACCTGAAGCTAAAGATTCTCAGACTGTAACCTTACCTCCCGATCCCAAGTCAACCAGATCAACTTCCGGTTCACAGCCAACCACCTCGACTTCAGACCCAAAGCTCACTACACCGCTTTCTGAGCCAAAGAAAGCTCCCCTTGATGACAAACCGTCAACTTGCGATCCCGATCACCTATCATCGACCCAAATTCAACGTTGCGAGGAATCGCGGTCAATGCCCTCCGATGCCAAATCTGCGGCCCCAGATGCCAACTCCGATTCGGTACAAGTTGCGGGGGCAGGTGCTCATACTCCATCGAAGATCCCCTCTGAAAAGAAGGAATCTCAAGACTTGCCCGAATTCGGAAAGGGCGTTGTCTTTCTGTGTTGGGGCAAATGGGCTGCTGATCGGGTGGCACGTCTATCTCAGGTAAGCACAACTTCGCACGTTTTCAAGCAGACTAACGACAAAAAGTATGGTTATTGATGATTAGCTCCCTTCAACCATGGCAATTGACTACAAATTCAAAGTCGAAGCATTTGATACTCAAATCTGCCCATCCGTCACCTCTCTCAGCTCACCGAGGATTCCTGGGGAATAATCACTTCAAGCTGGCCAATGATTGGCTGGAGAATAGGTATGGCGAGTCTGCTAAAATCAATTGGTGTGATTTGAAACCCTGAAAACCCTGCCTTTAACGGCGTACTGTAGTGTCTCCATCTTGTGCTCATCTATCTCTCATATACGTTCAATTACACTTCCTGTCTTTTTGTATTCTCTATGTCAGTCTGAACCCCTCGACGTACATCTCCTAGTATTCTTTACATGTCCTGGTAGATTGAAGAGTTCCCTAGGACGATTGTGATAGAATTTCAGATAGGCCCGGTCAGGACATACTTATGATCTGGCCATCGCTCAGATACGACCATCGGGGAAGCTGTCACTGGTGAATGAATGTTTAACAATCAGTCAAGTCTGATGTCAGATCTTGCCTTGCAATGATCAAACCGACCTCTAACCCCGCGTAAATTCTTCAATCGCAGGGTTTGGCCACCTCGGCTGGCGCAAAGCCAGCCACCGGCAGATGTCTCCAGGTTTGACTTGAGAGCAACGCACCAGGTAATTTCTGCCCTTAAAATTTTCGAAAGACACCCCCCTAAAGGAAAAGTCAATTCCCCAGTCACGAGCAGGCATGGTAAATGAATTGCACAGTAGTAAACAACTCCCAGACACACATACATATATATCAGAGTGGAATAAGTAAACTATGTTAACCACAGCTGGTCAACATTAATCCAGTTTCGACAATCTGATGACTTGAATTTTTTGTGCGCAAGGCACACAACATTGGAGATCTTTCCCAAAAGTAAACAAAGGAAAGTATCTTCAGGGCTTTTGGTATGCTGAGTGGACTATCCTTTTTACTTTCATCAGCGGAAGAATCAAGCTTTTGTAGGTACATCATGGTGAAGGAGGCTCCACCAAAGGACTCCAATGATTCTAAGCACCCTCATCACTAATTGCCTGATTTATATACACCTGCATCAAGCCCCCTCTTGCCTGGGGCTTTCTGAAAATGGCTGGGTCTGAACATTAAATCAGTAGTTGTGCAATTCAGCCATGCTCAACTCAAACTTGCTCAGCAGCGTTGATCAATGCCTGGCTGGCCTTCTTTTGATTTCATCTCCTCACTTTCTGATCTTGTTATTCTCAGTGTGTCGGCTCCTGTTAGCTTAATCAATTCATTTAATCACAGATTATTTAGGTGACAGGGCAACAGGAAGCTGAATTTACAAGGGGAACCAGATCTAGTTTTTGCCATTCTAAATCTGGTTCTACAGGGGCTGCAGATGCGACGGGAAGTCCTAGACTCACTGCAAGTGGGTGCAAGTTACATATTTACTTGTCTGGATTTAAACAAGTTGCTCTGCACAAAAAATCATGGAGATGAAATGCCCCAAAGTGTATACTTTCAAACCAATGGGATGAATTTCAAGTATCATGATTTTGAGCTGCTCTCCATGGATTCTAAGTTTAACTCCAGCACTACTCAAGAAGATAATTTGAGACTGATTCTTCTTCAAAACCACTTTCTCAGATAATATGAGCTCATCCAGTAGTTCTTCTTCCCTTCATCATGATCAGCCCAGGCAGTCCTCTCGCATCCGACAAGCAATCGACATCACTGAACCACTCGAACCCTCCAAATCAATAGCCTATCCATACTCATTCGACCTGCTAGCTCACCATGGATGTGTCAATGCCATCTGCTTCAGTCGCAATGAACAGGGGCGCTGGTTGGCCAGCGGCGGCGACGATAGAAAAATTATCCTCTGGGACTTATTCCAGGACTTTGATCAGATCTCGCCCGTCGCTTCCTTCGATGGCCCCGCTGCAAACGTCTTCTCTATCGACTTCTCTGCCGACGGGAGATGGCTGGTGGCGTACGTCCCTTCTTTCATCTCATCCCCCCTCCCAGCTGGATTTGAAAGCTCAGGCTCATGATTACCCCTTAACTCAGATCCGGATTGGATTCTAGGATTTTCGTTTATGACCTCAACCGTCCTAGTACTACTCCTTCTGTCGGGTCATCACCACAAGCCGCCGTCTCGGTCCTAACACCGCACACCGTAATTAATTACTCCTTCCCTACTCTACCTACGCTGGCCAGAATTCATCTTACCTGTAATTTCACACAACAGGAATCGTGCCGAAGGGTAGTATGCCATCCTCAGGAAGCCAGCTGCCTCCTCTCTGCAGCGGAAGACGGTCTAGTTTTTCGCCACGACCTCCGTAATCCCGAGAAAGAAAACAACACGGCCCTTCTAGAAGCTCGAGCTCAATATACAGATCTATGCTGGAACCCAGTTGGGTTACTCTTTCTTTTTTCACTACTCACGACCACATGCTCTCTCATCTTTCTTTATTGGCTCTGCCTGGCAGGTCTCACCCGATCTCTTCCTTGCCAGTACCAACCACACAATCAAGCTATACGACCGAAGGAAACTAGCATCCGATCCCAACTCCAACGTGAACAACTGTTTGGTTTCAGTAGGTGTCGCTTTTCCTCCCATTAGGGTTTAAGCCATCTCATGATTGAGTCTAACCTCATTCATCCACATCCACCACATCCGCCACCAGTATACCACCAATTTGATTAAACCTAAGCCACTCTTCAGGATTGGACACCCCGAGATTTCCTCAGTCACCATCGATCCGACTGGCAAGTTGTTGGGAGTCATGATGAGCAAATGGTACCCGACGATATGGTCCCTGGATGATCCGCACCCATTGGCAGTCCTAAAATCCGAACCCACCGTCACCGGAGACTCCCAGATCGAGGGTGCTTTTCGGGACGTCTGTACTATTAAAGTAAGTTCCTGTGTAAATCTCACACATATAGGAAAGAGTTCTGCATCTCTCTCGAAGCCGACATGACGTGTTTCCGCTCCTCTGTCTCTCTCTTTCTCTCTCTCTCGATCACTTAGCATGGCGGATTTTCTAATCATGTTCATTCAGACTCTACGTACTTTGCCGGCGGCAGCGATGACTTCAGGTGCTATGGTTGGAAACTTCCCCCAATCACCGACATGGAAAATCAGAGACACGAGGTGGCAAAGTTGTCGGATTGGCTCAATGAAACGACGTTGGACACTTGCGGTAAGTAATCCTCCTATTGTTGTATACGACATAAATTCTTTCTAACACTGATGGGTTTTAATTAGCATATGGAAACAAGACGATCACTGTACCGCTGACCATCTCCGAGCCATCATTAAAGTTACACGGACACCGCTCTATTCCCAACTCGTTAATATTCCACCCGTACCTACCACTGATATGCACATCGGGGGTAGAGAAGTTGGTCAAGGTACATTCGGCGCGGCGAGTGGGATGGTATCCACACCAAAGCATAGAATCACGAGCGCAAGTTACCTCGACGACTGTGCGACGAAAGATGAGTGTCGCGGATCGGATCCCGTTCATCTTTGGCAGCCACCGGTCGCAGCTACACTCCAGCGCACGGCCCGAAGAGGAGGACTTGGAAACTCTTGCCATGTTTGACGCGCTCCTCGAACGTGAAAAGGAGGTCGGCGACCAGTCCCTCTGGTTTGGCCTCGACCGTCATCATACTGATGACGATGACGATGATGATCAGGATAACCAGGACGAGGATTACTTCTCCTATGACGACCATTCTGATTAGCGATCAATTCTTTCGCTTACTATTTCACTGGATTTATGTATGTATTGAAATCTGTCTGTTGTGCCCTTACTGCTCTCACTAACTCTTTCATCCTCCTACTGCTACCGCAAGACTTAATCGCCCTGTGGTTGTATCCGAATATTCATATACACAAGGTGTGGATATCATCTGTCCCCCCTCCCAAAAAAACAAGATTGAGAAGTTGAGTATAATACTTGTACCGAATAGCCTCCTATATACATTGTTGGTCTACACCTCTGCTCTCTTCTTTACAGACAGTATGATGATCTTTGTATTTTAAACTCCTCTGGCTGTATTTTCATTAATCCAAATAAAAAATGTCGCTTTGTGCTTCGACGACTGTGTGTTGACTTCTTTGACACCGTGACTTGTTATTCTCATGTTGTTTGCATATCTGCGCAGGTACTATTCTTCAAAATGATTCAAACGTAATCGACCATGGTTTATTTTACATCATGTTGCGAAAAAGAAAAGAGAATTCGTTCCGCTGGGGTTTTCAGAATAGAGTTGACTGTGATGCGTGAATTGAATGCATGGAAATGTGGTCCTATTTCCCGATAGTGTTCAAAAGCGTGTGGCTCCCCTGGCGTAATGGTAACGCGTTGGACTTCTACTGAAAGCCTTTCATAGGTCATGCGGTTGTATCCAAAGACTGCGGGTTCGAGCCCCGCGGGGAGTGGACTTAGTATTTTAACTTGGCTGTGTCCAACGTCCCTCCTGTTACCTACCAACTTGCGGAAGTGTCACAGACATCACGTGTGACCTTCATGAAAGGCATACTTTTCTCAAGATGTAGATAGAGTTTCAGGAAAACAGTGATTCCCCAAGTGACTTCCACCTTTTTTCTTCTTTTTCCTGCTAACATGGCACCCAATACTTTTCAGCAGAGACTCAACAGAGTTCTTGTCTCCACAAAGACTCAGCACTCATTTTCAGACATAAAGAGTCATAATTATGGACCAGTCATACATGTACTACCCCTTTCAAGTCTTCCCAACAGAACTAGAAATTTGAAGCACAGAATGAATGGGGAGGTACAGGTATCTATCAATTTGTCTCCAAGCCTTCACAGCAAGGCAAAACAATAAAAGGCCTGCTTCCGGTTGGATCTGTGCAGTATTTTGAGGGAAAAAATGCCTGCTTAATTTGTGGCCATACATCCTGTTGAGGGACACATGTATGAACCCTCTGCAGCAGGTGACTAACCTAAATCTTCTGAGATCTCTAGTTTGATTTGCTTAGGGTTCAACACCTTACATTGCTCAGAATGGTTGGATATCATTCTCAATCAAACCTTGATGATAATCAATTCAATCAAATTTCCTCCATCAAGTACTCACACTGTCAAACCAGACCCAAAGTGAAGGAAATTTGCATGCATTGCCTTGCTAGGTACAAAGGGGCCCCTTTGTACCTAGCAAGGCAATGTGTACATGTTGCCTTCTTTTTTTGCCTGGTGTCAGCCTGAGAGATACTCCAGAGTATCCAAATGACTGCATAATAGTTTTGCCCTTCTTTATTATTGTGAAATAATAGAATATTAGTTCAGAAATAGACATTGTGGAGCTTATATAGGCAAGGGGGTAACTGCGGGTCTCAGCATTTGCTGCCGCTGATGGCATGGTACACGCGGAAAGCTGAGGTGGGCCAAAGTAAACAAAGGAAAGTATCTTCAGGGCTTTTGATTAGGCTGAGCGGATTATCTTTTGCTTTCACTGCCAAGGTGATTGTGTCAGATTCCCACATCTGGAATTATGTCAGATGAAAAAGTCTGATATTA